ATATGAGGATTATAAAAAATGCGCGAGTACTAGAAATCGTTTCACGCTAGCTACATTTCTTGCTTGTTGCTCGTGCATGTTTTTCTTTGCGAGAACTATATCTCTAGAAACATAGTGCTCTCTACTAAATTCGTGTTTTTATAGTTGCATCCTGAGTTTTCCTTGAGATTGTATCAATTCGCATCGTGGTTAAAAACTGCGCTCAACAGACGCACTGGTAGATCGTATCGTAAAAATCAATGATATTAAAGCATACAATTCTTTTAGTACATTATCGTTCAAATCGTCATAAATTATGTTATTTTTAATGCTTAAGAGGGACTTGCCAATACAGTCTAGACATGAATATGAAATTCGAAATATTGAAATTCGCTACATAATTTATACTTCTGAATAAAATTTACTTAATTTAAAAAATTAAAACTTTCTATGTAAATTTGTAACGAAATACATAATGCGATTATAATATAATACTTGTTTTCAGTAATTAAAAGTACGTTAAAATATGAAAATAGTCACACAATATGTATTTATACTTTAGAAAATACAATAAAGGTGACGCTTCCAAAACTTTTGTGAATGGCTCGCTGTGATCCAGTTAGAAATTATAGCAGTAATTTCCGTACAAACTGACAGCGAGTCAAGAGTAAAAACACCATTTCTTGAAAATAGAATTTATCTTAAGAAGTTATTTTTAAAGTGATTAAAAATAAATATAACAGTATTATATTTGTGGAAAATTAAGCTGTGATTATAATCAGTAAAATATATTCAGTTTTCAAATTTTTCTATTTTAGAAAAATTACAAAATTTTTACTGACTTCACTATATAAAACATGCTCAGATTTATATAACAAATGATTAATCTGGTTACTTAAACACGTTCCTAGTGCCATTCTCGAGTAAATATGTGAACCAAATAAAAAAAACCAATATCTTTTTCGAAATTTCAAATGAACAAGCAGAACAAAATGAAAACAAAAGATTGGAAAGCATACATTTTGCATTAAGTGCTGATATTTAAAAAGTGCTGGAATCTTACAGATGCAACGTACGAGACAACGTTGTGTGAAAGCTGCACAAATTGTGAGACCAATTTCATGTGTTGTTAGTAATTAATGCTACAGGTAAAAATATCAATATAGAAGGAACAAATCATTAAAATAGTACAAGTTCTAATTGTTAACTTTTCTTTAATGTCTGGACCAATTTAAATTCCACTACAATGTAACACATAGTTTATTCTTGACCATGTGAGTTTTCAAACTAATGCATTGTCTTGTTAATTTTACATAATTACTGAATAAATTTCGTACTTTCAATTTAAAAAAAATTAAAATTTTCGTTAATCGCCTTACAATATGATTGATTTGTTTTTGTTCACGCTGTTTTTTCATATTATTATTATTATTTTTAAATTATAAAATTTACAACATGATGCCGAATGCACAAATTGAAATTATTGAATTTTGAAAGTTCACGCATTATTTTCTAGATTTGGTTATACTTCATATAGAAAACATTTCTGTTAAACTATTAAGCCATCAACTAAAAACTTTTTATTTACTTAAATGCTAACACACCAACTTCCTGTTTTGAAATATATGTATATTCAGGTTATAATTTTACAGTTAGTTTCAAAGTAATAAGTAAATAAATAGTACCAACAATGTACAGAACGTATATACATAAATAATTAAATATATATATATATATATATATATATATATAGAGAGAGAGAGAGAGAGAGCTGTATTTAGAATTGTGATCCTAAATTATAACATATAAGAGGCCCCTTCTCCATCAAATAATAATCTAAAAGTGTGAAGTCCTGTAGCGTGAGACCTCAAACTGTTGTCTATGTATGAATCTGGTCTTACGAATTTTTTTGTTTAATAGAAACTAATATTGTCTTAGAAATTCGTATTTTTATGCAAATTTCATGTTTTAGTACACGACAATGGGTCATACAATGACTAAAAAGAGCAGAAATATATTAATAATTCGTGCTGAATAAATGGCAATTTTCAGAAATATTTTTGATACTTAATGATTATTAATTTATAAAATAAATCTTTTAAAAGAAATGTATATACAGCATTATTATTTCTTTAATTTGAACGAATCCTTTCATTATATGATATAACTGCAGATAATTTATAATGCTTCTTTTCTTGATAAAAGAAATGAAAATAATATAAATTATTACTAAAATAACAAGGAAAAAAATAAATAAGTATCCTCTCCAACTTTTTTTATCAATAATATATTATGTAAGAAAAATTTTATTTATTTATTTATTTCTTCGTTTATGTATTCTAGGTTAAGAAAAACAGTACTTGCACAATACGTTTCTACGGGCATTTATGTAATATATTAATAAGGAGATTCTAACAGATTTTACAAATTTAAATCTGGGTTGAGAATTTTAAAAATATAAATTATTTTTTTTATTAATTTATATTATTTTTTAGTATTTGGCTTGATAAAAATATATTAACTAGAAAGGAATTTTATTTAAAAAATAAAGAATTTTTAATAAAAAAATTAATTATTTAACAAGGATTAGCTTAAGAAAGAAAATATACAAAGAATTGTTTGCTGAGAAATATAATAAAAGAAAGAATATAACTTGTATCAATTAGAAAACAATTTACTCAGATGATAAATATATTTATTTGAAGGGAAAAAGCAGAATTTTATTATAGGATAAAGATTTATTAAATATAGGAATGTATTACAGGAAACAAATATGAAATACAGTTTATACTGCAGAAAATAATACAGGAGTATAGGAACTGTGCTGCAGGGACAATATAGAGTAATGCAGAAAATAATACAGAGGTTCACGAGCTGTGCTGCAGGGATCATATAGGATTACATAGCCTACTGAAGGAAACAGGGAGTGCAGTATGTAATTCAAGAAATAATACAGGAGTATATATATATGGCAGTAAGCAATATAGAAGCGTATAAGAGTCTAAACTACAGAAAATAATATTGTATAAATATTAAATTAAATAAAATCCTCAATAGGAAAATATATAAAAGAACTATCCTAAAGGAATAAATTAATCCGAAAATGTCTAAAATATATTTTTAATTTTTATTTTATTCAAAAGTAAAGATAAAAACAAGAAAGGATTATTCGTGATCGATTCGATATAGTAAGAAAACATTTCAAAAAAAAACTTTATAAATTCTTTAAGAAAATTGTAAACATTTTATTTAAAAAAATTATTTTTTTATCTCGAATTTGCTTTGTTAAATGATGTTTATATTGTTTATAAGTGAATGATAAATGAATAGTAAAAAACAAAAAATAAACTAGATTTAAATTCATTCAAAATTTAAATGTTTTTATTATTTTCAAAATATTCAATTTTTATCAAATTTTTATGTTTAAAGAAGATTTAAGGAATAGATTTATTTATAAGAAATTCGAATAAATATAAAATAATAATTTCTAGAAGTAATTTTATCGATTTGAAGTGTTATTTTTAATAATTTTTTTTCTAATTATTTTTAGATAAATCTTAAATTATAATTACGTAAACTGCTTCACATATAAATTAATATAAGTTATATAAAAATAGTTTTAAAAATATATTTAGAATATTTCTTCAAAACATATTAAAGAAAACTTGTTTTTATATAAAAAATTTAAAGAAGAAAATCTTTAAAATTTTATATTTAACTTATCTAGAAAATATGAAAAATAAGAAAATAAACAAAATTCTA